CACAATAAACCACCGGTTATCGTTTACGATGATATTAGCCGGTTGGGTCGTAAGAATCCGGAAATCCTTGATATCCTTCAAGATGATGCCAAGGATAATGCTGAAGACGGAAAATATATCGCTGTGTTTGTCTGCAGTGAAGGGAATGTCCCGAGAAGAATGCATCGTAAGTGCTACAGGGTTTTTTGTTCTCTTATTTACAGGCATACTTATACTGTAAATCAATATTATATTCTAGCACGTAGTTCTTGGTCACGTGCAGAAGAACCAATCGAAATTGGTGACCTCTCCAGAGAAGAATCATTGAACTACCTTATTAAGCGTGGAATCAAGATCGGTACCGCAGAAAAATTATTTGATTTGGTTGGTGGACGCATTGTAGATCTGAAGCTTATAGCAGATAGATATCTAAAAGGAATACCCATTGAAGGTAGAATTAGTTTCATATTTTACATTTGTAATTCCGCTTCTGACATCGTTTTCTTTTTGCAGATGTTGAATTTACAATTTTAACGGAAGTCGAAAACAAATTCAGAATTGCAAAGCTTCTTAAAAACGGCAAACATTATGAAGTAGGAAAACGTATTATCAGTGCTTTGCAGGATTCTGGAGAAATATAAAAGCAACTAACTTCAAAGTTTAAAATGTATTTACAGCATATTAAATCTGTTAAAATATTATTGTTAACGGATGGACTGTAACACATCATTGATAGTCATCAATTCCTACACCCACATGTGGATGGCTCCATCAAACAATGCCCGCAGGAAGATCCCGCGGGCTCTGTTTACATTTCCGCATTTATAAACTCTTTCTTCTGCCGATGTTTTGTATGTTCCCACAATAGCTGCAGGTCTTGAAGGTGTACACCTCATCTTAGATAATTACCATCACGCCTGTTTTCTCGGCTTGTGTTTCAACCTCTGCCAGAATGCATAATGTGAACAGGTAAGCATGCTCTGAACCACTTTTAACTTGATTTTTCGTCAATCCATGTTCTAATTCAAGTATGACCATGACATTATAATTTTGGATCAGATAATTCACTTGTTTTTTTGTGAAGCCCGTTATAGATTCCTGATCTTTTTCTAATCTCTTTACCTTTCTTTTTTTTTTGCTTCAAGTGTGCCATTGGAATTGTCATACTTGAACAATTAAAGGTATGAGAAGTTTGCAGAAAAAAGGGAGGTCTTTGCCTTGCAACTGAATATATTAATAGACAGGATCCTCTTGAATGGCAGTGTAAAGAAGGTCATAAGTGGAAAGCTTCAGCAAAGGATATTCTTAAGTGAACTTGGTGTCGAAAGTGTAATACACCAGGGAAAAACGTGTTATACCAAGTCAAAAATTATCCCAGTAATGTTGTTTGAACCTGAAAAAAGGCAGCGTTATTATATTATTTATTACATTTATGAATCATCATCAGGAATGTAACCTCAGAAAAAGCTGGCATAACCAAAAATTGTTGGAAATGTTATTTATTACTTTGATCGCATAATTGACACGTCAGTACATCAACTTTAGCTTCATAAATCCGAAAAAAAATCGATCAG